CCCCAAGTCAGCTTCTGCTGAAACTGACCAGCGCTGACTACAGGAAGCCCCAGGCAGAGTTGCTCTGCCCCGGGCTTCCTGGAATCAGCTGCTGATCAGTTTCAGCAGCAGCTGACTTGGGGACGCCTGGGGTTCTTAAGTTGATTCTGTATGTAAGTCAGAACTGGTGGTCAGTTTCAGCAGTGTCTGAATCTGGACGCCAGTTCCGACTTACATACAGATTCAACTTAAGAACAAACCTACAGTCCCTATCTTGTACGTAACCCGGGGACTGCCTGTATTCAGGGTTGCTAAGCTGGACGCCTTTCGTGAGCATGAAATTCACTGAAAAGACGTCATTATTAATTGTAGTTAACCAAGGTCTGCACTTCGGTTCATTGCAGTGCTCGCTGAACGATACCTTTTCAAAATGGTAAATGGGACCATTTCATCTGCCGAGTTGAATGAACTATGTGGTGTGTCATCAAACGAATCAGGGCTTCTGATTCGCATTTGAAAGTATTAACCCTTTCCCACCCAAGTCTGTCCAGACGACATTCATTTCTAAGATTTGAGAGCTGTTAATGCTGGTCATTGTAAGTGTGCTTGACTCAACACTGTATTGAGGGGAAATAATACTTGTTCTCTTCAGGGATGCTAAGAAGAAACTGAGACTGGCTCTTTGTTCAGCAGATTCTGTTGCCTTCCCAATGTTGAGCCATTCAACAAGAAATGGGCTTCCTGATCACACTGACCCTGAAGGTAAATTCTCTGACGTTAGAGACACGTTTCGCTATTGTATCTTGTTGTTCCTGCTCCTACCCTCATCTTCGTATTTTCTTCCATGCTTCCCTCACACATGGAACAACCTGCCAAATCCCAGTTTCCAGTATGTTGTAACAAGGTATCTTGGAAAAGTTGTGCTGTAGCATAATGAGGCAGATCCTGAGGCTTTAAAAGTGTCTTGGAATAGTCCCCTATTAAAACATTATAAAATGTAGCTGCAGAGAAACTGTAGGAAACGGAGAGGGTGCATTAGATGAGATAATCTGAAAAGAGACTAACTTACCTTATTGCTTAAGAAAAGTGTGCATATGTGCACATTTGCATGTATGTAGTATGTGTCTGTGCAGTTCTAAGGTTTTTTTACTTGCATTTTTCCTTTACTTATCCCTTATCTAGGACGTTTAATGGTCCTTCTTTAATAATTGTTGCAAATATATATCAAAATAACACAACTCATGATGGACATTGCTTAACATACATCATTGAAATGGTTTGAAAGTATTGCGTCCACCTGCTTTTCCATGCAGCTCCCTGAGATCAAAACACATGCCTCTCTCTTCTGTTTGTGGGAAAAACCTTATAGGCAGGGTACTAATTCTATCCTCTTTTTGGTCAGACAACGAAATTGTGTGCTTCTTGAAAGTTCAGTTAGCTGAAGCCATTAACCTACAAGATAAGAACTTGATGGCCCAACTGCAGGAGACAATGCGCTGTGTAAGCCGCTTTGATAACAGGACATGTCGAAAGCTGCTGGCTTCCATTGCAGAGGATTATAGGTAATTTGTTTTTGTACATCATTATTAAGCAGTTTCCAAGTGCAGATTTTTATCCACTGGCAGTGCACATTCAACCTGTGGAACTCCTTGCCAGAGGATGTTGTGAAGACCAGGACTTTAACAGGGTTCAAAAAAGCACTAGATAAATTCATGGAGGATAGGTCCATCAATGGCTATTGTTACCCCCAAAATACCCACTGGAGACCACCCACGGTTACACTAGCATGGATTTATTGATTGAGGAATTAACACTCCCCTTTATGCACTAAAAGGTTAAACTAAAGAGGATAGAGCTGCCACTAAAGGTTTAAACTAAAGGGGAACTAGCTGTCACTGTCTGTCTCACTCACTCGCTTGATCATTGTCTTCGGTCCACCCTCTCTGGGGTACCTGGTGCTGGCCACTGTCGGCAGACAGGATACTGGGCTAGATGGACCTTTGGTCTGACCCAGTACGGCCGTTCTTATGTTCTTATGCCCTCAGGCACACTCACACTCACACAGGCATGTGGGTTGCAGAAGGAGTCAAGGCATGTAGATCCTGGAGGGTCTGTCTGCTGATCATGGCCCGGAAGCTGGTCAGAAAAGAGCTTCTCAGAGGGTTTCTGCCACATACTCTCTCCTTTTATTGCCTCTGTACAACCCCTGTGCCTCCTCCACCCCCTCACCAAGGAGCATGGCCAGACTTCTCTTGATCCAGCAGGGCAGCAGCCTCTGTAATTGGTCTGATGACTCATCACCTGGCACCACCGTGCTCAGCTTTGCAGTTTCTAATCCCAAGCTCACATTAGTCTCCACTCACTCACATCTAAGGGGAGGTTGCAGTTTAGAGCATGTTACAAGCAGAGTGGATGAAAGTTACAAAGTTGCAAGGCTCAATGATCACCAAGCTTCCAGTAAGTTCTGAACTTCTAAAACAAAGATGCTGAGAGTTACAAAGTTGCAAGGTTTTACAACGATTACAAGGAGTTGCAGAGTTTAAATGGCAATGCAGCTGAAACAGTTACAAAGCTTCAGAGAATCATTTACAAATCATCAGTACTTAAGTGACTTAGAAGACAGCAATACAATCTCTAAGTCATGTGTTGGCAGGACCTTAGAGTTTGTGTTTTCAGAAAATCCATGTGTAAAATCAAGTAATAGCTTGAGCGGAGGCTTTTATGCAACAGCTGATAGGCAGGAATGGTGTCCCTAGCCTCTGTTTGTTGGGGCTGTCGGTGGATGACAGGAAAGGGATCACTTGAAGATTCCCTGTTCTGTTGGCTCCCTCTGGGGCACCTGGTATTGGCTCCTGTCAGCAGACAGGATGCTGGGCTAGCCGCTAGATGGACCTTTGGTCTGCCTCGGTATGGCTGTTCTTATGTCCAACTTGACTTGCATTTTTTTTTGCTAAGCTGGGTTTTTACATCTATCTGCACTTTCCCACCATGTGCTGGAATTCTGTCTGCTTTCTGGGAACGAACCATGAAAGATTTGAGTCTTAAATCAGCCCAACTAGTAACAGATTCTAGTAAGAGAATGTTGTTAGGCCAGCCTGAAGGTGCCTTTATTTAAATTCTGCTTTAGTCTCTCACTTCTTGGCATGGGAAGGGTATGGAGGCAGTGAACCAGAATGGGAATTTGGGTAGCTGCCTTACTGCTTAGGCTGAGGCACTAAAACAGAAGGTTGTACAATAGCTTGAGTTCAGGACATGCTTTTCTATAAAACCTAGGAGAGCTGAAGACTCCCCTGATGCCATTCTGTAACCAGGTTTAGATAGCTAGTGTCTCTTGTCTTTTGGCTGTTGAATCCCTAATAAGAGAGGCATTTTTAATTTTAGGAAAAGAGCTCCCTATATTGCTTACTTAACTCGGTGTCGCCAAGGCCTGCAGACCACACAAGCCCATCTGGAAAGGCTCCTGCAAAGGGTTCTGCGTGATAAGGAAGTGGCCAACAGATATTTCACCACGGTTTGTGTGAGGTTACTTCTGGAAAGCAAAGAAAAAAAGATAAGAGAATTTATTCAAGGTAATTTAATGCAGAGTGTGGGTCATCTGTATCTTTTTTAAATACTAAACATAAAAATAAATTGACTGCATCTCAAGTTAGGAACAAACCTATTCTAGGAGTCTAACTGCTTTTAAATATCTATGCACATAGACTCTGAAAGTAATCTGAGCAGAGAAACATTGCTTATTTCTGCCTGCTTGGTCACTCCACCATTTTGGGCTTTGCTGTGCTGCAGCTTAATAAAATGCAATCCCCACCCCTGCCAAAAAACACTAAAGTTACGCAATTAACATCACAATGGGGAAATCAGCTAACTCTTGGCCTTTAGATCTGCAATTAGATGCACGTGCACATGCCCCTGTCCCTGTGTGACCAAGGAAGGACACTTGCACTGGGCAGAAAGGAGAAATTTGGTCTTGAAAGAGTGAGCTACTAGCTGGAGAGAATTGGCAGCTGTGACTGCAGGGAGCTGGGGATGGAGCTGCGCTTCCTGAGTGCGAGAGAGCACAACTGATGGCTAGGGGTCCTGGTGCATTGAGTGCCCTGTATGGCGGTATACACTTTGTTACATTCACATGGCTATAGCAACAATGCACATTTAATCAAATGCGCGACTGGAAAATGGTACACATGGGCTTTCTTAATCTCCTTCCTTCCTAGTGATAATGTCTGGCAGCCTTAATGATATTGGTCCCTATTGGTGAACTTGATAGTAATTACACATAGTATTGTTCCTCTTCTCGGAGCCCAGTGCAAGAGGTAGAAAAGTCTCTGTTTTGGGGGAAGGGTGAGTCATGAGAATTGAATAACTTGCTCTGGGCTCCAGATGAAGAGAGTAATGTAGGGCCAAGCGGAGTGCTTAGACCACACCATCTGAAAACGCAGCTCTACTTTCTTCTGATTTCTCCATTGGAACGACCTTGTTCCTCTCCATACTCCCCCGCCAACTGCCCACCCACAGAGCTACAAACAAGAACCCTTCCCAGCATTGACCAGTTTCTGGCTCTGCTTTCTGGATGTGCCATAGGAAACTGCTTTAATTGGCCTTTTAATTGTGTTTCCTCCTATCGCTTTGTGTTCAGACTTCCAGAGGCTCACTGCCGCAGATGATAAAACAGCCCAAGTGGAAGACTTCCTTCAGTTTCTGTATGGGGCCATGGCCCAGGATGTCATCTGGCAAAATGCCAGCGAAGAACAGCTCCAGGATGCACAGCTAGCCATAGAACGCAGCGTAATGAATCGCATTTTCAAACTCTCCTTCTACCCCAATCAGGACGGAGACATTTTGCGTGACCAGTAAGTGAACAAGATGAGATGGACCTAGTTTCTCTCGCAGTGAGGAGAGAGAAGTAGCGTTGTTTCCACAGAACAAGCTGGCGTGCCTTGCCAGAAAAGCCAGCCTTACTACACCACCCCTTTGCTTTGCTCTGTTTACATTAAATAGGGTTTTCTGTGTTTAAAAAAAAAAAGAGAGAGAGAGAAACTAGTCCAGGTCTTTACTTTTAACATCCTATGCAAAACTCCACAATTGCAGCAAGCTACTAGGACTAGAGGAAACTAATCTTTATGATGTAGGTACTAGACTATAACCCCTGTAGTTTGGTGTTTCACAGTGGATAATTAAAACCTTCTTCAGTGCACACACCCTCTGTTTACAGTTTTGGTGCAGTTGGCCAAATGCATCCTGGGTCTTTCATCTTCCTTAAAGCACCAGGTTTCTGACCACTGCAGCCAGCATGAGATGGATTTGGAGTCCCATAGGGCAAGTCCTGCTGTTTGCGAAGCCAGTGCACACTCACCATGGAACTGGGGTTGCTATTTATACCTGGTGTTCCTCTTAATCCCTCTTATGTCTGCAAGGTATTGTTCAGATGGCTCTAATTTATGCAGCTGTGTTGTGGCATGGGGAATCTGAAAGGGGGTTTTGCCTCTTCTGTGAAAACTGTATTTGGTCTCTCTAGGTGCCTGGCACTCTCCTTTTCTCACTTCACTTCTGCTCCCCCTTTTTCAGGGTCCTTCACGAGCATATTCAGAGGTTGTCTAAAGTAGTGACTGCGAACCACCGAGCACTTCAGATACCAGAGGTAACCACCACTTCTTCCCTCCAGCTTTGGGCTTAAGTTAGAGGAAAAATAGCACGTCTCTTCCTGAAGCAGGTGATGGAGCTGTACAGTCCCCTCCTTGGCACTGAGGGATGCTGTTGTTCTACTCCACTAGTGTAGCACAAGTTTGAAGGTGTATTGACCATTTGTCACTTGTGCACTGACTAATATTGAATTAATGGTGGCTTAGCTAAGCAGATCAAGACACATGTACATCAGAGTTGTGATTTATGGTCACCAGGCAAACTAAAATCTTGTCGTGTTAACTAGGTTGGGAAGCACCCCGAGGCAGGGATAACTCTAGAGACGGCTATCAAGGCCAACCTTGGGTGTGTCTAATGAAGAGAATTCTGCATCTTCCCGTGACAGTTGATTCTGCCTCCTTCCTAATAAGATTCTAGGATTGGCACTGTTGGTCTCACTCTGAACCCTAGAAAGTCTGTTGAGTCAGTGTGAAGCAGTGGATATGGGCGAGAGCTATTTTTGTTGCGAATATCACCGTCTTCAGCCATTACTGGTAGTTGTGATTTGTTACCATCTGATTTTTCAGTTCTCTGTTCTTCTCAGCTTCCACCCCTTTAACAGATTGGACTTCAAGAATTATACCTGTGAGACAGCTCAGGATCTTAGCTACTAGTCCTAGCATAGTATTTTAACCTGGATAATACTTTGCCTTTTATACAACATATTTTTTCCTCAAGTTGTTTTACAACAGTAAGTAATCACAATGCCCCCATGCAGGATGGAGGAAGTTGTTAACCCTATAAACAGGTAGGGAGATGAAAACAAAACGAGGCTAAGTGAATAGTCGAGTGCCACAAACAATGTTCCCTATAATCTTTTCCCTCCATGCGTGGAATAAATTTTTGTGCACTGAGGCATGTGTGAATGTGCACCAACAATAGAAACAAAAAACCTAGCTCTGGGTACTCTGCTAATCAGCTGGGTGGCACATGAATCTCTCCAGTTCATTTCTTGGTCCCTAGCTCTGAAAAGGTGAGGGTCAGTTAATGGGAAGTAGAACCTTATATCTCCATCTTCTTCTGAAACACTACATTGGGGGAAATGAGTCAGAGAACAAGCTGATTGTATGTTAGTTATATGATTAATATTACTTTTTTGCAGTGTTTGTACACGTAGAATGAGGGAGGCTTAGAGTGCACTGCAGAAAATACTTAATTGCCTGGATTGACTAGAATTGGAAATGATTTTCTTCTCTTCAGGTGTATCTCCGGGAGGCACCATGGCCATCTGCCCAGTCTGAAATCCGCACAATTAGTGCTTACAAAACCCCACGAGACAAAGTGCAGTGCATTCTGCGCATGTGCTCAACCATCATGAACCTGCTGAGTTTGGCCAATGAAGATTCAGTTCCTGGCGCAGACGACTTTGTTCCTGTTTTGGTATTTGTTCTGATAAAGGTGAGTCTTCTAGCAGAGATCATAGATTATCTCTCTCTCACACACTTTCCTTTCGTTCTTGTGGTAAGCAATCAACACTGCACATCTCATTTTAAATATAGACTT